AAAAACATATATATATATATATATATATATATATATATATATATATATATATATATATATATATATATATATATATATATATAATTATGATTGATAAAACTGACCCAGCGGAACCGATCAGACGTGAGGCATTTGGATAAGCAAATTAAAGACAATGCATTCTTCGGGATTGAACATAGAGAATGCGTAGCAATGTTAATTATATAGTTAATAAGATATTGTTATTTGTATGGTAAATCACTTATATTCATATTCTGCATAATTAGCAAGATTGGGAGGGTATAAATTGTGTTCACTAGCAAAGTATAGGATTATATTTGATGAAGACAATAAAGTCGAAACGTAATGTTTAATTGATTACCTTATATAACTTTATGGCTTTTTGCCTAGTGATTAACCTATATATATATATATATATATATTCGTAAACCAAAATCTTAAGCTATATATATATATATATATATATATATATATATATATATATATATATATATATATATATATATATATATATATGAATGTTGTGGTTTCCCACGTTGACGATTCCACTCGTGTAACGTTATGTAGCGGTTTATGAGTTGTTTTCAGACGAGTGTATACCAAACCGGGCAAGCAGAAAATTCTACTTGACCGCGGCTGGGATTCGAACCCGCGACCTTCGCATTTCTAGAACGATGCTCTACCTTCTGAGCTACAAGGTCAAGCTGAGAACGACGTGTTAAGTTATGATGTTATTCGCATTTCGGAGGTTAGTCCTTCAATGCGTAAAGCGAGCTATTAGTCTATATATATATATATATATATATATATATATATATATATATATATATATATATATATATATATATATATATATATATATATATATATATATATATATATATATACTATATATATATATATATATATATATATATATATATATATATATATATATATATATATATATATATATATATATATATATATATATATATATGTAGCGGTTTATGAGTTGTTTTCAGACGAGTGTATACCAAACCGGGCAAGCAGAAAATTCTACCTGACCGCGGCTGGGATTCGAACCCGGGTTGGATTCAAATTTCCGGTTGGAGCTAGCATTCCAGTTATATCCACTTCAGCTGGTAATGTCGAAAACGTATGGACTTGGACCGATACGCCTCCTAAATACTCACGTTCACCGTATATTTTGACAATATATTTAATCTAAAACTTTACACAAATGCTCACTCGCTCACCGCTTGGAACCCTATCTTTCGAACATGTGTTTTTAGCCTACGAACAGGTGTTCATAGGTCCCTAATACTAAATATAACATGAAGTTTTCTACACACTCCCCATATGAAACAGATGATTCATATGTATGCTAACTATAAAACTGAATGTTTCTGTAAAATTGTTAATAAACGTGTTTAAGACCATGTTCAGTAATCTTCCAGTTCATTTTCTAAAGTTTCTTGGATCCGCGTTTCTGCATCGATGGCCGCCTTTCGCTTCGGAACGAACGATCTTGCATTGGCATCCAAAGGAGTTTGGTTTGTCTCCTCCCCGTCCTCTTTATTGGTGGAGTCGCAACTGAGCTCGAGCGGATATAAATGTTGTGGAGCTCGTTCTAATCGATCTCGACCGCTTCTGAGACGTATCCGCGAATTACACCGTCTTTACCTTCGATCAATCTTTCCAC